GGATCTGTAATATTATAACTCCTGTGTAATGACACTGATTTTATAAGGACTTGACAACTGAACTTCAGTTATTCAAAATAAATATGGTTCAGATTTTATTCTAATTTTGCCTATTCTGGAAACGATAAGAAAAGGTGTAATTTGTTACATTCTCACAGTGATCAGTTCAGCTTAATTATAATATAGAAGGGGAGACATCTGATGTTTTAAAGGCAGATATATGATTATAGTAATCTGTTTTCCTGACCCTGTAAAAAAATGATCAGTTTTGCAAATAAGTGAGCACAAAACGTTGTTTCCAATCATGCAGCTTGCCAGGGCCACAGTGATTACCTCACTTGCCTCAAGGATTTCCTGGTGGCCTCCAGTACGTGGGCGTTGCTTTGAATTGTTCCTGCTTGATCTGATTATATTCTCTCCTGTCTCTTTTGCCTTCACGCTAGATTCTGCAGCACATTAACATTTGTTTCTGCTTCTTCACATGCCATTTCAGTTGAGAATGTGCTCCATACATTTTAGGTGCTGGTCTGGAGCACACGACATCCTGACATGAAAGTCTGAGGGATCTATGTGTATGCTGGGTGGGCACACACTGTGTACACAGAAATGGGCACAACCCTGTTTTCCTGCCATATTTACTTCTAATCAAGAAAAGATTATGTGATTCTTGTTTTAGTAGAATCATCATAGAATCCTAGAACAGTTTGGGTTGTAAGGGACCTTTAAAATCACAGAATAAACTGAATTGGAAAGGACCTACAAGGATCATTTAGTTTAGCGCCCAGTTCTGCAGAGCACCATCCCCAGGAATCACACCACGTGCCTGAGAGTGTTGTCCAAACGTTTCTGGAACTCTGTCAGGCTTGGTCCTGTGACCACTTCGCTGGGGAGGCAGCATCCTACCACCAGAATCCTACTACCAAAATCTAGAGCGGAGGCACCTTTGAGTGAAGAATACTTTTCCTAATACCCAGCCTAAACCTCCCCTGACACAACTTCAGGCCATCTAGTCCAATGCCCCTTGCAATGAGCAGGGTTGTCTTCAACTAGATCAGGTTGCTTGGAGCCCCATCCAACCTGATCTTGAATGTTTCCAGGGATGGACATCTACCTCTCAGGGAAATCTGTTGCGATGTTTCACCACCCTCACTGTAAAAATTTCTTCCTTATATCTGGTTTAAATCTACTCTCTTTTAATTTAAAATTCTTACACCTTGTCCTAGTGCAACAGGCTCTACTAAGAGGTGGGTATGACAGTGTTGGAGAGGGACCTGTGCATCTCCTGTCCATCCTTGTCAAGACTGAGCTGGTTTTGCTTGCAGTAGTGGAAAGTGATAGTCCTGTCCCTTCTACCATATAACAGTAAGCAGCCATCAGTCTGTGAAACTATAGATTTTGTTCTAGAATCAAGACAAATAATGTCAATAAAAATTGCAAGAAATAGGTTTTCTATGGAAGATGGCTTGTTTTCTGTGGTGACTGATGGCAAAACCAGAGATCACGATGTGCAAGTTTGGTTTGCTAAGCATTGGCATCTAGGACTGCTGAGATGTATAAGGGTGTTCAGCACAGACATCTGTGGGGGACTGGCCAGCAGGACCTAGGCAAACATTAGTCCTCCTGGAGAAGAAGGGGAGACCAAGTGGCACAGCCCCTGAACATAAACCAGCCCTTTAGGTGTGTGACCAGGCAGCTGAATCATGCTCAGTCAGGCAGACTGCAGGCAGTGGTGACAGGAGCTCACAGAGGAGGAGGGCAAGCCTGGCGGGGCAGGGAATTTTATAGAAGAAGCAGAACTGTGGGGGGGGGGTCCAAGTGGAAGCTTTTGGAGGCGACAGCCATCTTCTTGGTCATCATCTCTCAAGTGTCTGACATGCCGGAGTCTGGGTCAGGGTTCAAGCTTTGTCACTGCTCCAGTATTAAAAGCTGGTTTTTACTGGTGATAGTGCAGATTCCCCAAGGCACTAGACTGCAAAGCATAAGCTTGCTGGAAAAGGATGATACGGAAATATCTGATGCTTATGTCAGGAGAATGGAGCTTTGCTTACCACAAACATCATAGAATACATGCCAGAAGATGAAGATAAGGAGATGAATCACTTCTGAAACAGTGCTTTATATTCACTCTGTCTCCTTTTCCCTAGTGAAGCCATTTTGCTTTTCTTATTTAAGTTTTGTCAGATGCACCTCAGCCACTCTGTGTTTCCCACGTCTTCCTTAAAGAATCTCTTCTCATGCCCAAATTATCAAATCTGCCACACTCATATGGGTATATTGCAAAAAGTTGCCTGAGGCAACATGTAACCTACTTTGCATGTGGACCTTGTAAAATGTCAGGCTGACAATTCAGTGATTTCATTGAAAAGCCACAAGAACTGTTGTGAAATTCTATGGGCTCAGTAGATCCCACACAAGTGTCCAGGGACTCCCATCTGTCCAGTATTTGTGGCACTATGTGTTTTGAAGGAGGCTGAATGTAGCAGTAAAGAGCAGTGAAGTACTTATATTTGTTTGTTGTAAGTTAAAATATTTAGTTATATGTGTTGGGAGACAAGAGTTGCCCAAGTGATAGAGGGAGGTGATTTTCCAAGCTTTTCCTGTCAGCATAGGATCTCTTGAGGAGCACAAGATTCTCCTTTTGGAGGAAGTGATCTGATGCTTTGAGTGAACATACTTACATCAGTTGTCCAAATACAGCATTTCAGATGCACATCTGCTGCTCAGAGTATTGGAAGAAGTTCCTTATTATGTTGCCATGTACCAGGATGACTGGCACAGCATGTACTAAATAATTAATCCTCACAGTAATTGCCAGCCAGTGTCAGAACTAAGACAGACACATAAGGTGTACTGCTGGTTTTTCTGTTTTGACAGCCCTGTGCCAGTTTTTTCATATCCAGTGTGAGTTCATCTCTGAACTGTCTGTGATTTCTAGAAAGATAAACTGGGGAAGATGGTTGTCTTTGTAATACTTAGGAAACCTCAGAGCATAAGAAACAAACAAAAGGTTAACAAATGTGTGCTGTGAGAGACAGAGTAGCATGATAACAAAATTATCTTGCATCTAATGGATGAAAAAAGCAGACAGAACAGAAATAGTGATATTTTCTCACCCCACAATTCAGATACCTGCATATTAGGACATCGTTTGAGCTTTATGTTGAAAAGAGTGTGGGCATTGACCTTGGACCACACAAATTTCAACTCTGCTGTGCAGTGTCTTTGAGATGTACACCACATTCCTCTGTCCTTAACCTTATGTCTTCCTGTGCCTCTGGCCACCAGCCTGTGCTGTGGTTCTGCTCTGGCTGGGTATTCTGCATTCCAGAGAGAAGTGGAAACTGACCTGTCCTGGATGGTGGGGCAGGCAGCCCTCTAACAAGAAAACTTGCCTACTTTTAACAGGAAGACCTTAGCATTCAGTTTGATATAGTCCTTTGAATAGAAAAATAACATGTGGGTTAAAAATTAAAGATTCTTATGCCTCTCATCTTTTAAGCATTTATCATAATCGAATCTTATATCAGGGATATCAATTATTTATATGGCTTCCCTTTTCTTTGCTTTCACCAGAGATGTAGCAAGAGAACACCTGTTCTTTGTCTTTGTTGAGCTTAGCAGTGCTTTAGTATTAGCAGAGAAAATTTTTCTTAGGTTTTTTTACATTAATTGTAGGATTAAAAAAAAAAAAACCCTAAAATTAAATTGATACTATTGTGTATATATGTGTGAGGGTGTAAAGTTTATGTATATGTATTAGAGTATTGGATAGTAACTTGGCTGTGTATGTAGAATCTGTGTAAGCATTTTGGAAAATATGTGTTGTAATTCCTCATGGAACAGTCTTCTAGATGACTTGTTCTGGCTAGTCTTCAGCACAAGCATAAATATGTTCTGATGCTACTTTCAATTAAGATGGTGGGGTTTGTGAGAACAGATTGCAGGGTAATTTCATGTTTAAAATTTGAGTAAGAATACTTGAACTGAAAAGCTAATTTAGGAAGCTAATCTTAGATACAGAGACAGCTTTTTATGCAACAGGATGAATCTCAAAATTCTCCCGAAAATGTAGCAAACCGAGTAGTTGTATTAAGTTGAAGGCCTGGGTTTATTCTTGCTGCCCTCATCACACACATATGTTGGCAGTCAGAGTGTGTCCCATAGATCTCATATTGGAAGTACAACTCATCTTTAGCAGAGGTTAAGAAGAAGGAAATTTCTGTTATGTTTTATCCTAAGCTTAGGAAGTTTCTGATCTGGTGGTTCAACAGGAACACCAGAGAGCTGACATTAAACTGTAGCTGGAAAGCCCTCAACCTCTGCCCTCACAAGTCAAAAATCTCCGATGCTGAAAAATTATTATAACACAAAATGTAATTTGTGTTATATTCTAAGAGCAGCTGGCTGGAATTGCTGAAGACATTTCAGATAAAGTTATAATTAATCTAATGGTAAGAATCAAGAAGTTGGCCTGTGGACAGGTGTCTCCCAGATTTGTTGTGCCTGTCAGTAAAGGTGGATCTTCCAGCTGTCTCTCTTGTTATGGCAACCCCTCACTAGATCACCCCAATGTTATAGTTCTTTGGTAGGGTGTGTAAGGTGGATGTGTGAGTCGTTGGGAAAGCTCACTAAGTACTGGGAAACCTGAGATGACAATACATGCTGTTAATTGGTGGATGGTATGCTGATAATATACATCTGCTGTGTATTTTTTTTTTTACAATCAGTTGAATTTAGCTACCTGTAACTTAATACTGGTTTTCTTTTCATTAAAGTGATGTAAAGTCTGATGAAACTGCAAGTGCAGAGACAGATGTGAATTTTGTCTGTTACGATTAATTTGCATTTGTAAATTTGCCAAGAAAGTGAAGAAATTAAAAAAGCAATGCTGAGATATAGCTGAGGTTTATCTGCATTTTAAAAGATATATATTAATATGAGCGTGAATTCTCAGGTATAAACGGGGATCTTGTATTTATTTTTTGTATTTGTCTGTGCAGGTTCGAAAGCATGTGAATGACCTATATGAAGACCTAAGAGATGGACATAACTTAATCTCACTTCTAGAAGTCCTTTCTGGAGACACCTTGGTAAGCTTTTATATCATAATACAATGGTTTCATATTTTTAATTATGCATTTTCTCTGTTTGTTAACTCATTGTGTGTTGACTGCTGTATATTCCTTTGATATTTTCTGTAATCTGTGACCTGATACCAAAGACAAGTTGTATTTCTGTTGGTAAATATGCTGGTGTGAATTTTGTGGGGGAGTGCAATCTGTTCTTAAAGTTTCTTGTGGTTAGTGAGACTTCCTGTCTTAATAGGATAATGCGCTCTTTCTTCTGCTCTTTCCTTTCCTTTCTGATTTTTGTTGTAACAAATATTGGATGCTTAGTATCTTTTTGCATTTAAGGGAGTAACTTACAAATAACAAGGATCAAATGTCCCTGAAATCGTCTAACACACTCCTCAGGTGTCATTTCCTTTCTTTGTGAGCATTACTTCCCTTGCTTGGTATTTGTTCTCTTCATTATGTTCTTCTTTTCATGCTCTTCTTTTCATTTGTGGTCTGTCTTGTGTTTTTGCTGTCCCGTCTCCTGTCTGTTGTATTCATTAGCCAAGAGAGCGAGATTTTTTGAAGACCTTACGGTTGGTGAGTTCAACAGAAGCATGCGCAAATGAACAGCATGAGGATGTGGAGGATGAGGATAAGGGGGTAGGTGCCGACCCCCATAACTGTACTAATGTAGTGTTTGAAGTGTGGTGGCTGCTAATGTAAATTCTTAGTTTGGTGTGCTGCAGTAGTGGGCTGTAGAAAGGACAAAAGAATTTTTGTTGATAAACCAGGATAAGTGTGTTTATGGTGGAAGTATGGTAAAGACAAATTTTTATTCAGTCTTTTTGTGAAGAGCTAAAATGCAAATGTGAAAGATTTCTATTCGTTTTCTTTCATAAAACTGTACAAAACCATGGTGCAAATGTATACTGGACAACACTATCAAGAGGCTATAAAATAATTTAAAAAATAGAGAAATAACATAATTCTATTAAACTAAGACCTTTTTTTAAACTTGTGATCAGTATTGTCCATATACAAGTAATTTTGACAAAGACTTGAAGGTTCTTCTTAGTGAAATCAGTGGCAAAGAAATTGATTTGTCTTAATTAGAAGCACTAGTTTACTATGTGCATGGTGTGTGTGCCATAATATTGGATAATATCTTGAAATAAGGTAATTCAGTGTGCAGATCTGTCTGTTAGAATTTACCATATATAGTAGTGATTTTGCCAAAGCAGGTAGATTAGAAGTTAAGTGACAGCTTTATGTTGTGGCTACTAAAAATACAGATAGTTTGCAGGGTTTATCTTTCTTGCAACAAATGCTGAATTATCGATTCTCTATATTTTGCCCATCCAGAAGGGAAATATCTACTCAAAGTGTAAAATGTTGGGTGCTTGTCTGAGTGAGCTGTTTCATGCCTTTTTAGACCTTGCATTTTGGCTTTTGCTGAAGCAACTTGCTGTCATAGGGCCTGAGTTCCTTCCTGGCTCCTGTGTGTTGTGCTGCAGTTGTGATTTCAGTGGAATTTGTGTGCTTATTTCTGAAGTGCAGCATAAATCAAAATGCTGCATTGTTTTATAAAATAAATATTTCCCCTCTGAGATGCTAACTCTGTATTTTGGGATTTACTATACCTTCCTTGTTGTGGAAAACCAAGTTCAGGTCTCCAGTCCTTCATTCCATCTGTGGAAGCTACTTGATAGCAAGGGCTGTAATGCTTGATCCTGAGTTATTGGTGTGAAAAACAAGGGGCTAAATAGAAGATTCTGTAATGGAAATTAAAATTATTTTGTTTCAATTTATGCTTCTTATTCAGCTTCATTTTCTTATGTTTCTTTTTGGCAAGCATCTGACCCTAGGGGGAAAAAAAAGCAGTTGAGGAAGGCTTGGGCTTATCTGTGTGTTTCACAGTGGTTGTCTGAGGAGATGCTCATATTCATGGCTGATCCCTAGCAATTATAGTCCACTTCAGTTTATTGCTGTGAAAGTTTGTGAAAAATCTGAAATAAGGAAGATTAGAAGGACTTGGATATGATGTTGATGGTATAAATTTAACTGCTTTCCATGCTGATCTGTGACAGCTAAGTATGCGTTTTCTGTGTGATTCTTCTTCTTGGTGATTTTACGCTAACTGCATGCAGTTTTGCCATGTTTCCATTAACATGCCACTCATTTTTATTTTCCAATTTCTTTTTGATAGTTTTGACTTTGCTTTGAGGGGAGTGACTTGTTAGTTTTTTTCATGCTTTGAAGTTTTCTACCCAAGTCAAGAGTTTAAACTTACACTCTAGGACTGTTCATGTTATATTATTCTGTTTGGAGGCATATCTTTATTAAATGCTTTAAATAAATATGTATAGATATCATAATCATTATGCAGTCATACCATTAAGCTATGAAGTTCCATACAGAGGTAAGCTTTTCCATCACAGAGTTTACTAGAGCAATGTAAAGGTCCATGACATTACTTATGTTTTGTTTTGCTTAATACACCATAAATATTTTATAATAATGTTTAGTTTCTGTAGGAATAGCCCTTTTGGCCTTAATAGTACTTTACAGGGAACAGCAATCAGCCTGCATGGATCAAAGTTGCAGTTGGGGACCACTGATCTCTCTTGCCATCCACTGTACTAAAAAATAACTACAGTTAAAATAAGTAGCTAAAGCACACTTTTCCACCAAAGGTATTGACTTCATGAAAGCTGTAGTGCTTCAAATGTTCTACATGGCAGATTTAAATCAGACTGTTTGTTCTTTTGTCTGATGAGAAAATCTCACAACTACTGTTTTCCACTTGTAGCCCCGAGAAAAAGGTCGGATGCGTTTTCACAGACTGCAGAACGTCCAAATTGCACTTGACTATTTGAAAAAGCGCCAGGTATGATGAAAACAATAATAAAAAAAGAATTAATGAAAATTTTGTCACCTATAACTAATAAATAACAAATTTTTCCTGCCTTGTCTCTTGTTCATGTTGTCTAACAGCTTCTTGTGTAGGCTCAGATTTATGTCATGCTTGAGATGGTTAAGAGAGATGTGGGAAAGTAGTGCTATATGCTATTAAAGAGGAGAAAATTATGGGTGACATCCTTAGGAGTTGCTTATAGTAAATTTAACTGTCTTCTATGCTGCCCAGAAACTAGCTGGTATGCAGATTTGTTCACAGTCTAATTTTTAGTGCAAAATGCCAATTCAAATATATTAAAATGTTGTATGGGAGTTCCTTGTTTTGATTGTATTTGTTTTGGGAAACAATCAGTAAAATTCCCAAAAATTTCTCAAATTTTGGTCCTGATAAAAGCAGAACAGGTCTTTTTAGACCAATTAGAGAGGTGTCAGAGCACCTGGGCACTGTGGAAAATTCAGGCTTAATTTCACTTGTATCTCCTTTTAGCCAGGCACTTGAAATCCACACTCTTGCATTTCTGCTATTGTGAATTTCTTTCCACTTTTCAATATCTTTTAAATGCTTACAGAAGCTTGATTTCTCCCTTTTCCAAAGTGAGAATTAAGGGATTTCTCCCTTTAGCCAAAACATGGAAGGAAAAACTGTTCCTCCCTATCTATCACATCCCAATGAATTGACACTGAAAATCTACTTTCAGATTGATTGATTTAAAAAAAATAAATTGTTTTTGCTACTTCAAAAGTTTGAGAGAATCTGAGATAGAAAACCATAAACAGATACTTAGTTTTGTTATGAAACCAGATGTCATTTTGGATTTTGAAATTTCCAACCTGCCTTTTGGGTCACTGAATAGAATGTGTGCACTGAGGACAAAATCCTCCTTTGCTGAGTTCAAAGCAAACTTTTCCTGTCAACCTAAGTGAGCCATTGAGTGAGTACACTACAAAGTAAAGGAATGGCTACTTGCCAGTCACAATGGCATTTTTATGCAGCAGGACCTCAGGACTTGTGCTGCACAATGCTGTATTTTAGGCATGGTACATCATGTATATTAAAATGCAGGAGGTGTAGAGCTGTGTCATCCTCATGTTTATGAACGTGCACGTGCTGCTGTCGATTGTGATCTGAGGATTTTTATTCTCTCTTTAGCCTCACAGCTTCATGAAGATGGCTGTATTCTAGTATACAAAATGTTTGTAGGGCTTTGGTCCTGGCAAATTGTCAGTGGAGCTTGCAGTTGGTTAAAGTTTCAGCCCTCTAGTAGGTGTTTTTAAACTGTATTTAGGAGTTAACTGGCTCAGGTTGGCTGTGTAAGGTCCAAGTACAATGTTTTATTGTGATTTACAAGGCAGAGAGAACCTATATATTGATAATTTTGAAGCCTGACTTGAGAAATAAACAACAAACTGTGGAATATGCTGTCTTGCAGAAAGCATGGTTTGGTGCTTTTTTTCCCCTCTCCAAATAGTAAAGATTATGTGTGCAGATCAAAAGAATGGCATGTCTTTGCTTGTTCAGTTGATAACAGCGTATATGTTGAAAAGCATGTTCATGAAACTTTACTAATGTAAGCATAAAATGTCTTTTAGCTGAGTTTTCTTTAACTGCTAGGTTATATGGATGCATAATACATATAGAGAAATTAAATACATTAATAAAATCAGAAAAAACCCTGAATTATTGAACTCTGAGGGTGATTTTATGGGAGTGTAATAACAGCAGCTGTTATTTTAATCCTATTAACCATTTGTTTATAGCACTATGAATGAGTACAGCATCAGAAACTATAATAATTGTCTTTTTTAAGCCATTGTTTACTTAAATGTGATACTAAATTCCTAGTTTTATCAAGCCAGAGCTGTGTTTTAGCAGGCCAGTTCTCCTGCTGCTGAATCCTTGTTTAAGTACAGGAAAGTGTGGGGTGGAAGAATGGCAGCGATAACTTCCAGTGTCAGCACTGCCCTGGGACTGATACAGCAGCTACAGATCATTATATTAATGTTATCCTGCCCAGCTCTGTCATGCCTTTCCCTTTTGACAAGAGCTGAGGCAAAGGGTATTTGGCATGGGGAGCAGATCTGCCAGCCTAGTGACAGCTGAGGAATTTTCTCATCCCAGTGTGAGTGGGAGAGGGCAGTTCCTGGCAGGCCACTTACAGGCAGAATATAATTCCTTTCTGCTTTTGAGAATTAAAAAACCCAGCAGAGTAGGCTCAGGAAGTGAGTAGTGCATCCTTTACAGTCATATCTGTGTAATGCAGTATGTATTTGTGCCCTATTTATCTCAGTTTTGCCTGTATTTTCTTTCTGTGATGGCAGGTGAAACTGGTTAACATCAGAAATGATGATATAACAGATGGGAATCCCAAATTGACTTTGGGGTTGATATGGACCATAATTTTGCACTTTCAGGTAAGCCTAGTTTTGCTTGACTATATGTTTTTGGTCAGTTTCTTGTGTAGTGGCAAGCATTGTTGATGTAGAAAGGACTCCCTAGATTTTATCTCTTCTCTAGTGTGTTTCTAAAGGTTTGGAACATGTATCTTATTTAATGATGTAAACTGAATCTCAAGATTTTATTTGCTAATTTCCTGTCTGGGGAATGAGGGAAAAAAAGGCTTCAGTTTTGAACATCATTAAAGACAGTAATTAATGTATTCCTTCCAGTGTTTGGACATATCCCTCTTGCTTTATTCTACAGACTTCTTTCTATTAGTATTAAAATATATTGAAGTGTTTTGATTTTTTTTTTTTTCCATTCAGGATCTGCTGCTATGAGTATCTTAGCAAGCTGTACTCTCAGTCTCTTCTAGTAGTTCCTCCCGTGTCATCATTTGTTTCTAGTCCCAGTGATGGTGGCATGGGTCACACTAGGTGGCACTCTGGTTGTGGTACAGTGGTGGGATTGTGTACAGTATAATGCAGCCTTACAGTGTGTGGTGTTAAATTGCTCCTCAAAAGAAGGCTTGCATAATGGCCCTGGCTGCAGATGATGTAATTTAGATGACAGATAATTCCCATTTAGTGACTGTGGCTTTGTTAGCGATGAACTCCCTGCTGTGCAGGCATTTTAAATTATCAGAAATTTGCAAGATCACACAGAAAAACTATGGTTCACTTAGGAGTATTCCACACCGGATTTATGACTGAGGAAAAATTTCTTTAAAAGCCAGTAAGGCTGCTAGTATCTAATGTGCCCTCCTGCAAATCCTAATGAGATCAAAGACATGAATAGGTACTGTGAATGGTACCCAGATATAAACAGGGTGCACATCTTACCTCAGACCAGCACATATAATAAAGGAGAAATCACTAGCAAGGACCTGGAGCTCCTTCAGCTCCCCTTGTCATGTCAGTCTTTGCTCCCATGTGGTTATTCAGAGAAGAAAAAGATGGGTTTAGATATATTTAAGCATGACCTACACCTAGGCTGTGATTGAAGGTTGCTCTATTTTAAGAAATAAATATTAACAACTTACTAATAGAAGCTGTTAGTGGAAGTTAAACCTTTACTTGATGTGTATTTTGTGTTTCTGAACCTGATTATTAGGCTTTTACAGAATTAAATTGTTAGTTTTTCTCATTAGATGGAGCACAGGACTTCTGGCACAATTTTAGGTGCTTATAAAAAGTCATGAGCATTAGTGCTGCCAGTAGTAAAAAATGAATGAAAAGGAAAACAAATTTATATAAATGACTTTCTTTATACTATAAACCTATTTATATAAATTACCTTCTTTAGGTGAACTGATGTGGCAAGGATTTTCCCCTGTAAGGTAGTCAGCTCCATATGAAATATGTTGAAGCATTTAAATTGTAGCCAAAACTCACTTCACTATGTCCTAAACCAAATAACTACCAACTAAATGTCTGCAAGTACAATTCAGATCTTGTAGATCTGTCAGAGTAGAATATTTCAGTTGCAGGGGAGCTACAACGCTCATCTAGTGGGACTGCCTGACCAGTTCAGGGCTAAGCATGGACATTCTCCAAATCCATCTTAAACACTGACAGGCTTGGGGCATCAACCACCTGTCTAGGAAGCCTGTTGCAATGTCTGACCGCTTTCAAGGAAGAGAAATGCTTCCTGATATTCAATCTAAACCTCCCTAGTACATTTTGGAAGTATTTTCTTGTGTCCAGTGGCTGGATACCAGGGAGAAGAGAATCAGAATGGTTTGAGTTAGAAGGAAACCTTGAGAATTACCTCATTCCACCCCTGTTGCTGGGGGCAGGGACACCTTCGACTAGACCAGATTGCTCAGAACCTCATCCAACCTGGCCTTGATCACTCCTAGGAATGGGGCATCCTAATATCTTCCCTGGGATCTGTTCCATGATCTTCCCAGGCATGGAGGAGAGGCTGACAGGTCAGTAGTTCCCAGAGTTGTCTTTTCTTCCATTTCTAAAGATGTGGTTCTCTTTTAAAGAGCTCAGTGCCTTTCTCTAATTCCCCACAGAGCAGTGAGATCACTTTTCAGCCTTCTTTTCTCCAAACTAGACAAACTCAAAGTCCTCGGGTGCTCCACTTAGAACATGCTTTCCATCCCTGCCACCAGCTTTGTTGCCCTTTGCTGGACATACTCAAGAACCTTCATACCCTTCTTAAACTGTGGAGACCAGAACTGCACACAGTTCTCAGAGTGAGGCTGCACCAACACTGAGTACAGCAGGATATTGCCTCTCCCTACTGGCTGTTTGGGCTGTCTTTGATGCCCCCTAGTATGGGGTCTGCCACCTTGATGACCTTCTTTTTCAAAATAATATCTTAAAATTGGTGAAAAAGTGATTTTGAGGATGACTACTAGTGCTTAACTAAATATTAAGCCTCTTTAATAAATATGAAGTTACTGAAGAACAGGATGTTTAAAAAAATATATTCTTTTTGTTACTAATGGCTAATTCACCTACACTGAATGCAGAAGGGATTTGTAAAGTGGTGTAAGACATATGCCCTGCAATAGTCTGTGCTTGCAAGACATTTCCTGCTATGCCACTTCCTTTGAAGAATATGGCAATTCGGTGTCTCTGTCACCTGCATATGGCCACTTCAGGTTTAGAATGTGAAGTTCACATACATACTTGGACATCAAGTTGTTTTTTTTTTCTTCACTTAGATTTAAAATGAGGGAAAAATCTGAACAGAAGAGTGGAGTCTTCACAAAGGGATAAAGCCTTGTGATAATAACTGTGTTTATGCATGGAGTAGTTCCATAGATATCGGGAAAGTTGTGATTAGATTCAGTTTGAAGTTAAGACAATTAAATCCATGTGCTTATGGGAAGCTATGTTCTTATGGAATTGTCTAAACTGTCCCTTTAATCTGATAATCAGAAGGATAAAGGTTTAGTTTGTACAGTTAGTACAGCCTAGACAATGAGTCAACTAACAAGCTACCAGAGGTTCACTTCACTCAGCTAAACATAAACATCTGTGTTGGAGATTTATGAGACACCCATGCGAGTATGAGAAGAACGACATGGGTGTTGTGGGAAACCTAGCCTCGTCTGGGAAGAGACAGATCAGGCAGGATAAACTGCTTCTTAAATGGTGGAAAACATGTTTAGCAGTGGATTTGAGGCCTGGAGGACTAGGCAATATAAAGGGTAGGGCTGATGGAGTAATTCAGATCACCTGAAGGAGATGCCTAGTGCACCTATGGAGCTATTCACTTCTCCAGCATAGTTGCTGTGTGTGTTCTGAGATGACACTCCATATCCAGTAGCATTTTCAGTGGGAAGCAGGTTTCCTTAGGTCTTGTGGTATAAAATCCATCTCCATATGGATATCTCAGGTATTTTAAAGTGTCTCAAATATTCTAGATGGTCAATTGACTTACTTATTTCTCTGCTTCAGGGTGTGAATCATTGCTGTTGATTGGACAACTAGTATAAGGCTTTTGATTCAGTCTCCTAAAGACAGGTGGCATTTGAGTGATATCTGAGGTGTCCTAGAGTATGCAGGACATGTGTGTGGAGTTCTCTGATGAGACACCAGACCTGTGAGAAACTCACAATCTTCTAGACCTGCAGCTGGAGGCCAGTTGGGATATTGCAGGATATTTCAAAAAACTCCAGAAGCCCATGTTGAGGGAACTGAATCCTGCCCCTACTGCATAAAGTGATCTCTTTAAAACCTAGCCAGTGTGTAAACATGGTTATCTAGACACTTAAGTGGGTCCTTTTCACCTGAATTACCCCTTAATTTTCCCATCATTTGCAGAAATAGTTAATTTCTCAGTGAGCATAAGAAGCTCTTTGCTGTGTGATGTTACTGGCTCGGCTACACATCAGTTATGTGTATTCTAATAACACTGCAATCTGGGAAGTAGTCAAGATGCCAGAGATATTTTTTTTGGCTGTTGTTTGTGGCTTATTGTTTCTCTGAGTTATGGTTTTATCTGGAGGGTATTATTTACTCAAAATAGAAAATCCCTCTGATTATTGGAATGAATTTAGGAATGATTTAGGGAAAAGATATGATAAAAAAATACACATTTGAGGATTATGCTTCTCTTGCATCTGAATTATATCTAGAGATTGTTACAGCTTTCTGAATTGGTATGCATAACTAGATAAATATAAATGTTACAGCACTGATTTCTGCAGCTGCACAAGACCAGAAAGTATCCATTCTTCTGTGTCCCAAGTAATTGCATAAGAGTTACTGAAAAGCTGGAATGGGAAATCTGGTGGATTATTAAACTGAGTATGTAAGAAAATAATTTGTTCTGTGGGTATTGAAAAACCCCAATGCATCTGTGTTGCTATGATTTATACAAGCTTTCAATGTACATATTTCACATGCTTTTAATAGTAGGTGGCTTAGTTTAAATTCGGTCTCATAATGCAATAACTGTTAAAAGTTATTTTCCTGGCACCTGTAGAACATGCTAAATCAGATGATAGTATTTTGTTTAATCATAGGCTGTATGTATAAATATACAAATTAATACTTTAATCGACTCCTGCAACATCCAATACATTTTCACTCACTACATTGGAGATGAGCCATTATAAATGAAAGCAGCATTTGTCCTCACAAAGTCATCACAATTTTAGTAAGATTTAAATTCTGTGAAAACTGGTGATCATTTCTTTTCAAACCACTTTAAGCATTCTTTAACAAATGTTAAATGTTTAAAATTACTTGCAGTTGGTTGGAAAAAGCATGCTGAAGCAAAGAAAAACTTTGAACTTCCATCTAGCTAAAAGTAGGCCTTTGTGAACTCAGACCTTAAAAAATTTCAGAAAGTTCTAAGTAATGACTCAATAGATTTCTTCTATTTCAGTTTCATCATCATTTTTCAGCTCAGGAACTGCCATTAAACACTCTTCCTTCCACTCTACCCTGCTCTTTGCTGTCAGACCTCTGCAGGATGCTGCTTTCAGTGATGATTCTGTCCAGGTGTT